TCAGACCTGACCACATGGCAACGCCGGTCACTCTTGTGGCCACCACGGATAGCCGTGCGGAGCATCCGGCTCACATGCGCACGGTGAGTGTTAGCACCTCCTGGGAGCACAGACGAAGGCGAAGATCTAGACATCGAGAGCCGCACCGGAGACGATCCCGCAGCCATCACCGTCGGCTACCTGACCGTCCTGTTGACGCGGTTCCCGTGGTCCGCCGTCATGCTCACACACCTAAGTATCCACCGGCGGTCAAAGCCATGCCAGCCTGCAGACCTTCCGGCCTGTCTTATGAACGGTGACGGAGCAACAGCGACAAAAGTACCTCAGCGTTTGCGTCGTTCATGCTTTCATGCACCATGTCATTGCCATGCCGCAGCATTATCGCTTTGCAGCTTTGTGTGAGTTGCCCTTGAGGTTTGATCGGTTGCCATGCAGTTGTCTGCTGAGTTTGTGAACAACCTGGTGGCTGTGCTCAATGTTCTTGCATCCCAGGTTGCGACAGCTTTGGACACACTGAACTTTGCCTTGATGACGGAGCGTAGTCGTCCGACAGACACGGTGGTGACCCCGAGAGCACCAAGAAACTCCAGACATGGGTTGCGGCCCCGCATCATCACGGAGCTCGCCTCCTCCGACCGATCTCGATCCCCCACACGCATTCGGGCTCGACCGGTGGACACGTCATCTACCTGGTATATACCGGCTTTGTCCCCGCCTCGACCCGCACATCGTGATGCTAGTGAACACAATCCTGGTACTCGGCCCGAATCTGTGTTAGATCGACTGCCACCGCCTCGTCCTCTCGCTCCCTTCGCAGCACACGGTGGACGAGAGCCAGGACAAACGACGCCTACGACACCTGAGTCGGATTCTGATGGTTCGATACGTCCGCATCCAGGTGCCTCGTCGTTCCGGCCGTCGCCGACGGTGGTCCATGGTCCTCGCGAACTTCTACAAGAATTTACCATTGCACTTCGCAATGCGTACCGTGAACCTTTCACGGCATGGACACAGGGTGAGCTGGATGAAATGGTGAGACGGAAGAAGGATAAAGATTCCAGGCCCACCTATAAGACCATTGCGCGGTTTCTTCAGAAGCCGATTGAGGAAGTCAAGCAGGCATGGAAGGTCTACCAACAACTTGAAGCTCGCGGCTAGCACCATGCCCGACAAATGCAGCAATGACCATTGATTGACCAAATGATACGCAGCGGCGGTGTGTCCGATTCGCGTTGTTGATCACATGATATTTGCTTGCTCGCATGTGAATCAATCTTGCTTGTCGTGTTGTGCAATGTCGTTGACATGCTGTGATGTCTTGCCTGAGTTGCTCAAATCATGTCGGAACAAGTTGTACAGACGTACATTACCTGGACCCATGGAGCGCAGCCGACGTGGTTACAATTTCATGGACCCGGGGCTCTACTCGACAGACCCATACGGTTAACTACGTCACCTCCGCCCCCGCCAAGTTTGCCATTGCTTCTTCCACCTCCTCCTCCACCACCACCACCACCACCGGTGATTCTTCACCCACAGTTTATGCCCTCGGTACGCAGCCCCACGATCTCAGCCCCTCGTGGACAATCCTGCCCTACCTCTTCGAAATCGCAGCGCACACGCCGCTCGATTCACAGCAGTGACCACTCCCGTGATGAAGAACCACGCAGTCCAGGGCCCTCGTCCAAACGATCTCGGACAGCATCAGCTTCGGCGCCGCGGCGATATCGACGGCCCTTTACAGTGTTTTATTCCAAACGTGCAGGCCGCCCATCGATATCCCCCTCGGCGGCGTGCAAACATTACTGTCACGCCATCCTGCGCCATGGACGGAAATGTCTTTCCCCTTGTGCTCGTAGACGGCCAGGTCACTATCATTGCAGGTGTGCGCGACATCAACGACAGTGAAAGCTAGGAGTCTGACATTTCCGACCTCGTTGCTGCGTTTCACCTTGTGTTTGAAAAGTTGCCTCACTCTTCAGTGTGTATGTGCGGTTTGCAATGCATGTGTGTCCTTGTCGCAGTCTTTCGATTGGTTCACAGTCGTACAAGCACGTATTGCTGCTATGAACCCCCAGTATTTCGAGTACCAGATCGATAGAGGAGTGGAATGGATTCGAATTTACTCTCCGGGCATTTGGAGGCCCGTTCCCGATGAGGCTCCTGTTCCTGACCCACTGTACGCTTCCACGTATCGGGAGTGGCGCAGATCATATCACTTCCAAGTGTACTGGTCTGAAGACAGCACCGGTGGAACAACAATGGACCCTATAGTCACGCCCAGTGCCTATGTGTCCTATCACGTGTGGGAGTACCGGGACTGGCAAACACGAGGTTACCAACGCCTTGGACCTCCTGTACAATCCATGGGATTCGCGATGCTCGTTAATGCGGACGTCGAGTCCTCGGTGGGCTCGTCGGTACCGGATGGGGCGTGGCGGGAACCGTCACCGCCGCCATTCCATGATCCTTGGAATGAGTCGGATTGATTTTTGAGCAGCATGTTGGACAAAGATGCGGTTGTGCTTGCTTTGTATGTGTGCTCACATTGGGTTGTCTTGCTTGGTGCTGTGCATGTCGTTTCAGTGTATCCGCCGCTTTCCGGGCTACCTTTGAGCAGCTTGTTGGGTTGAAATGTTCAATAGTACAGTGCAGGGTGCAGCACGATGGGACCTACCTCGTTATTTTGACTATGACATCGTTCATGGTCGAGCAGGAACGAGTGTGGAATGGATTCGAATCTATGTGCCGGATCAGTGGCATCCAGTAGCCCCAGACACCCTGGGACCGGCCCCGGATGACCCGACCGCCTATCGGGAATGGCGCAAGGTCTACCACTTCGAAGTGTACTGGCCCAGGGAAAGCACGGGCGGCACAACTATAGGCACGGCTCTGCAACCGGTATCCTATGCCACCTTCTACACTTGGTATTACAGGGACTGGGTCACCAGGGGGTATCAACGCCTGGGTCGTCCACATCCCAGCATAGCGAGGCCAGTTTTCGCTTCGGGTGCACCGGACCTCATGTATGCTGGAATGACCTCCTCTTCGGCATCATCTAATTCACATGATAGCTGATGCCCGTCCTCGCCTCCCTAGAGAGTCTGCCTGAGATGTTGGCGACGCACAGTGCTACAAAAGTGGTCTTTTGCCTTTTGATAGTTGAGTTGCTTTCACTTGTTGTTGTCTGCAGCCGTACACCTATCAACTTGTTTTTCCGTGGTTGCGTTGTCATGCCGTGGCTGGAATGGTGCCCAGACCCGCAACAACCTGATGCCCAGTGGGTCAAGATCTTTCATCCGGGACCATGGACGCCTCAAGAAGAACATGATGCTCCACCTCCTCCGCATACTTTCAGAGAATGGCGGGAGTTCTATGCTCCCAACCAGGACTCAGACGATGGGCAAGTCCAAGTCACTACGTGGTACAAGCGAGACTGGGCCACAGAGGGCTATCGGAGAATCGCTGCTCCTCACGCTGGTCATGAATTTGATTCCATGTATCCCTCCGATCACCATAACGTGGCCACGCAGTCGGCGGCGTTGAGTATATCGCCGGAGCTGTTAGACGCGATTCTCAGGTCCTCGGATGCGGCTGATTTCTCCACTGAAGAACTGATTCGTCTCCAGGAGGGGATTTCTCAACAACTGACGGCCCGCGCACGTCAGACCTCCCATCCTCATCAACCAGTACGTGCATCGCGTGGAAACACACCATCGGAGACGATTGGGGTCTCCGACCCCTACACGCCCGTGAATCCGTCCGACAGAGGCCAAGACAAGATGAGGCCCGTCTTCGAGCTGACTGACGACTAGCCGTGCATGAGCAGCGCAGCGTACAAAATAAGGGTGGCCTCTACACTTGCATGATCTTGCTTTGCTGTTGTTTGAACATGGTTGTGCATGGTGCTTGTTCATCTACTAGCTGGATCGGAGCCCGCGACCATCCTTGCCTCTTGCCTTGACATGGACATCGATGATTCCAAGCAGTATCCATGGCTCGAATATTCGGTCTGGCATGATCAGGAGTGGGTGCGGATATACACTCCGGGACAACCTCAACGATGGCACCGTGGTGACGCCGTACCTGATCTACCTGAAAACTCTTTTCGTGAATGGCAGCGGGTGACGGATCCCGAAGCGCCAGTCCAGGCATGGAACATCCGTGACTGGCAACACCAAGGGTACCAGCGCATTCTGTCTCGGATGGAGTCCTTCGCAACTCACGATTCACAGGATCAGACTCTTGGTCAAGGTCGGAACTCCGATGCCGTTCAAGTTGAGGAGACCTTCACCTATGCCACTCCGTTTTCTCATGGTGATCGCCAGGCTGCTTCACAAATCGCTTCAGTCCTCTATGGCGACACTCGCAACGCTCAACGTGGTGATCTTTCGTTCCCGTCTTCTGAGCGGTTTAGGGCAGTGTCTCGCTCCCCTCGCCGTGGTGGATATTTTGGTCAACGATAGTGATTTGAGTTTGAGCATGTGATCTTCCTGCAGGAGAAAAGAGAAACCTCGCCCCTCGTAGAGGGGCGTGTGTGTGCGGAGTGACAGAATGCCCTGTCACCACCCTTTCTATTTCGCAGCAGGGGCGTGCAGCACCTTTGGCATACTGCACGCAATGAAGCTACTGCCAAAGGTGGGAAGGGTGTCCAGACGTGGACACCTGTACCTGCGTCGTGATGTTGCTGAAAGTCCTTTTGGTCCCCTCCCTGAACCGCCGTTGTTTTGTGTTTCCCTGTTAAAGTACCTACAGGGAAGCCAAGTGCATTGCGAGCCGAAACTCATCGTACTCGAGACTTGTCGGTTGTACTCGAGACTCATCAGTTGTACTCGAAAGATTAGCACACTCCATCTGGAGTTCAAGTGTGTATCCGCTGGAAACCACTCAGCCTTCCCTGGTGGAAACCACTCTTATATTGACACAGCCTTCCTTGAATGTGTATGCGTGAGTTTGTGCCGGTTTGGCCCACAACATGTCGAGCCACTTGCTCAAGCCAGGACTTTTACGCCAAGCTGCCCAAGTGGAATATTGAGCCAGATGCGGCGACATACAAGTTCCTGAGTTGCAAGCGAGATTGATCGGGGGAATCAAGGGTTGAAGATGCCAGAGGCCACAGTGTTGACAGGGACCGACTCATAGCGGCAGCTCAGCTGAGCGGCTTTCCTGCAGCTCAGGATCCTGGCTCAAGCTTATGGACAAGGTTTGAAGCTGAGATCTTTGCAGGGGCTCTTGCAGCGCGGCTGAAGACAAAAAGTCGCGCTAATTACCAGTTTTTTGAACCTGCTTTTGCCTATCCGTTCAAAGGAAAGAGATGAGCGGGAAGGAAGCACTGCAGCAGCTTCGCGGATGCAAGAGGTAGTGCCTTGAAGCTGTTATGTGGGAATGGGTCAAAATCAAACCACCAGGATATGGACCGCAGGTTTTAGACCATGTTTCCATTTACCAGGGTTCCATTTTGGGTACATATTCTTGACCCACAGCCATATACAGCCCTGCAGGCTAGAGAATGCAGCAGGGCCTCGTGGCAGCAAAACGCGTTTTCTTGACGAGCAGTGCTTTGGTCGCCTTTCTGTACTCAGGCTGAACCACTGTATTGCTCAAGTGGCCTGCCTGCTGGGAAGGCCTAAGGCGCATGGAACTGGATTGAGACACATGGAGCCTAAGAGGGCGAAGCAGACGTTGGCGGTTCTCCTGGTCGCCATTCGTGTTTTGTCAGGCAAAACATATCATGCCGGTCCGATCAGCACTTCAGCATGGCCATGCAAGCTCTAAGACAGCTGCACCTCCTCAAAGACAGCAGACGTTTGGCGTGATCGTCTCATGCCTCCGAAGTTTTGGGCCATGGGAAATCAGAACAAGCATGAACCAAGCGATCCATCGCACGAACACAAGCTGTGACGCAGGCAGCGCAGAAAGCGCTGAAGAGGGCCGAGGCAGCCCTGGCCGAGGGGAGCCTAGGCCAAAATGGGCTGTCGACTTTCTTTGGCCAAGAAACCTTACGCAGTGCATCGCTGCCTCTAGAACCGGACTTGGTTTTGATTTGTGTGAGAGACACAAAGCTGAACGTACACAGGGCACCACCATCGAAACATGCCGCCACTTGACTTTCCTATGTCTGACTTACTGATGTTAGTGTGATGCAATTGGAAGTGCTTGAAACGCATGCTACTTTTCTCCCCCCTCATGTTTGCAGACGGCACAGTAGAGACAGTTGTGTAGCCAGGCACACCCGAAAGTGATTGAATAGGTTTCGATCCCTGACCCATATCACCCTCCACGCTATCCTTCCTTTCAAAATGTTCTTGGTAGCCAGTCGCTTTTTCATTGCCAAGGCGCAAGGCTGATGCAGAGTTTGACCAGCTGCGGCGGCAAGAATTGACTCGAGAGGCAGAGATGCACGAGTTTGACCATTAAACGGTCGGAAGCCTTGGTTCAACATGCGTAACCTTGCCCCATGCCCGACAAAATGCGTTCGGTCAGGTGCGTTCGGTCAAGGAAGCGCTGCAGGCAGGCCGTGAAATCCATGAACAGCACCTGCACATATTCAGTTTGGCAGTTTGGCGCAAGTGGAGAGCCTTGAGCATTGGCTCTACGGAATCTCCAGCAAGACTTTGCTTTGAAGCTATGGCTAGGACCATGGTTCATACCAATTGTTGTGATGTTCATGTCAATGTTCATCAATGGAAGGGTGGTACTCGCATATTTCCCTCCGAGAACCCAATATGTCTTTTGGGTTTGTGACTCACTCCCATCCATCCATCCATCCATCCATCCATCCATCCATCCATCCATCCATCCATCCATCCATCCATCCATCCATCCATCCATCCATCCGTGAGTTTGAGTCAGTGAACGGGTAACATGTGGGTGCCTGTCAGGAAGCTGTGGATCCCATGGCCATGCTGCAGCGCACCTTCGCCTTCCCCGCCCAGCGCGGCCTTGTGAGCCATGACGTCTACGAGGCCCCGCGAGCCCAAAGCCCCGAGCCGGCGAGGGCGGCTGAAAAGTTGAGAGCCGGAACACCCCGCAGGCTTTGGGTCGACTTATCCATTTGCAAGGCTTGCATCTTGGGCCTTTCGCCAAAATGGGTCTGCTTGTCCATTTGCAAGGCTTCCATCTTAGAATCTTGGGCCTTTTGAGCCAGCTGCGGAGAGTTGACCTTTGAAGCAAGGCCTTGCGCTCTGGCTTTGGTGTGGAGCAGTGCTTCCTTCACGGCCTGGGCACAGAGGAGGACTGGGAATGATTGATGGAGCTGTCGCCTTGGAAAAATGGGGGCCTTGGACCATTGGAGCATTTTTCGGGGCTGTGTGTCTCACCATCTTTGCCTGGGCCGAATTGGAATTCTGGGGGAGGACGGCACTCCTGAGAGAAAAAACGCGAACATTAGGAGACTGGGCTGAGATTCAATACGGGCTTTGATGTGAGAAGTAATCACCGATTGAATCAAGGGAAGCACGCACACTGGCCGCAGCGCCCTTCCTTCAATGAATCAAGGCAGCTTCGGCAACTGCCTTCGCCGACTACCCGCTTTTTTTTCTCTATTCGCGTGTTCGGGTTTTTGTTTGTGTCAGGTTTATATACCTTAATTGGTGGTTTGGATTTGCGGTTTGGGGACTTGAACCGCCTGATTCTTATAGAGGGTAAATTGGAACCCCTCCTTAACCAACCACAGGGAAGCTGAATTTGGTTTGGTTTGGTTGGGCTGGCTGGCTTGCTTGGTTGCTTGCTTGCTTATTGTTTGGTTGGTGGCAAACCAGCTAGAGGGAAGATGATTCCAGTTTGATGGCAGGACTTCCGACAGCAGCTCGACCGCTGCTTCCGCGGCCACTTGCGCTGGCGAAGGGTTTTCAGCAGCAAGCTGCCGGTAAAACTGGAGGCGGGGTGAAGTGGCCAGGAATTGCAATGGAAAACAACACGAACTCGCCCATCTTGGGGGGTTCCCCTTTTTTATAAGACAAACCTAGGTCTGAATGTTTGTTTTCCGGGTACCCCTTTTCTTGGCGATTGCAAAGGACAACCAAAAGGAACTCGTCCATGTTGGTGGTGTCTGCCAGTTTTTGAGAGAAACCCAGGTCTGAGTTTTGATATACTCTCAAGCATGCAAGCTGACAGGGGGCTTCCCCCCAAAAGGACAGTAGCCTTCCAACACCCTCCTGTCAGCTTCCGTGATTGTTGGAGGGAGGGTAGCCAATACGGACAATACGCAATGCGCTTGGTCCACGACGGTTGCATCATGAACACGCAGCTTGAGCACAGTCTTGACAAGACTGACACCTGCAACTATCCAGCACCAATGTGGGCGTCCAGGTCATTTGAGCATTTGCAAATGGCCCGGTATTGCCTGAAGGGCCGTTTTGTTTGCAATCCAAACCACCAATCCAAAGCCTTTCTTGGTTTGTTGGTCGGTTTACCCGCATTTCTTGGCCCTTGGCAACCCAGATCTGTTTGCTTCAGGTGTGCTCCGGAACTGGCGACTGGGTGGTGGCACAGGCACGGGCGGAGGCTGGCCGAGCGAATTGGGTGGCCAGCGCCCTGGCGCAAAGCGAAAGTATGTACCCCCCCTCCCACATTGCCATGGCACCTGACAGGGCTCCCTTTAAGAGGAAATTCATCTTCCAACTCCCCACAAGCGCCATGTTAGTGGGAGGAAGGGTAAATCAAATTTATGTCCCGTGGCAGTTGTTCGACGTTTTTCGGTGGTGTTCTTTTCGCTTTTTGTTTTTTGTTTGCTAGGTTTTTAGTGGAGCGCAACATTGTTGCATGTTTTGATTAACTCATTTTGCAACTCGTCTGCACTCACAGGCAGTGCTTATGACGTGTCACCAAGGTGAGCTCAGATACGACCGTGTCTTCAGCATCCTTGCCAAGGCAGTTTTTGCAAAGCTGCAGAACCTGGCTCTGGTGGCCGGCAGCTCGTCTCAGAATAAAAATGTTCATAATTACTGGCATTGACAGGGCTCCTTTGGCCAGTTGAAACATGGTTTTTTCCACCAAGATAAAAGGAAACCACCATTTGCAAGGCAATGTTCATGTGTATAATGTAAGGATCCCTGATTGCGTTGGCGTTTGCATTTTGCCTCCGCAGGCAAACAAATCCTAGAGCTTTTTGATTGCTGCGTGGCACATTTCAATGTTGAGGTGATGCTGGGTCGGTGCTGAAGAACTTTATCCCAGCAGGCAGCATTACGACGATTTGTGTGAACTTTCCAGAGCCGCCTCAGACCAGCAGAGTCTTGCCTGAATCTCGCTGATGTTTGTCCTCTGAGAGGATGACCTTGCAAACACTGATGCCGTGATGATTTGATGAAAGGGCATGCAACTAAGGAAATGCAGCCTGGTAGCCAATTTGGGATACATGAGCTTAGTTTTTTGGTAGACCAAATGTGGAGCATCCCGCGCCGATGAGGCATGCTGCGACGACGCCGAGTCGCAACTTCACTTGCTGACCGCAGACTTCTTTCAGGATGCTCATGCAGCCTTGGCAGATGAAGGGGCCAGGGCCTCAGTCAGGGGGGTTGCCGGGTACCCATGGTCGCTCCAACTCCGCGCGGAGTTGGCAGAATGCGTGAGCCTCAGGTGCTGACCATTTTTTCTGACAATGAGGAGTATATGCGGTCTCTTGCGCGCACAGTCGGAAGCTGGGCAGCTAGAGGTTTGTCCAGCCCCTCAAGTCAGCTGAATGTTAGGGAAAGTCCTTTCTCCTTGTGGCCTGCAGACTGGCAAATGCTTTTCGCTGCTCGGCAAGGATTGCTGCGGCATGGCAAGCGACGACTTTTTGAGCCTTTCGCAGACGTTCCAGCTGATCATCTTGAAACTGCAGAGCTTTGGCTTGCAAGTTTCCCTTTGCTTGTGGTCGAAAAGAGCCCATGTCGCACAAGGAGGAGCTTTGCGGCCTTCTCATTTGCAGCCTGGCAAATGGGAGCTTGGCTTCAGCGTCTTGTTAGCTGCAGATGCAGAGCTTAGGTAGAGGTTGCCCCGGCGAAGAAGCTGGTCACGTGACGCAGGCGGGACATTGGCAGTGACAAGAGGCTTAAGTGATAAAGGCCGGCGGTAAAATGTGCTTCCCAACCCTGGTGAGGGGGTGAGGGATCCAAAAAAACTTTTTAGGCATCAAAAAAACACTTATTTCTGAAGATCAAAAAAAACTTATGAGGATCAAAAAAAAGCTTATTCTCATTGATTTACTATTAAACATGAAAAATCAGAGGATAAAAAACACTTTTTAGGGATCAACAAAAAAACTTATTCATTTCGTGGCAGGCGAAACACTTTCGCAAGGTCGGGTACAGATTTCGTGGCAGGCGCAGCACTTTCGCAAGGTAGGCGCAATGCTTTCGCAGGTCAGGTGCAGATTTCGCGGCAGGCGCAACACTTTCGCAAGGTGCGGTACAGGTTTCGCGGCAGGCGCAGCACTTTCGCAAGGTCAGGTACAGATTTCGTGGCAGGCGCAATACTTTCGGAAGGTCAGGTACAGATTTCACAGTGACTTTCGCAAGGTGCGGTCCAGATTTCGCGGCAGGCGCAGCACTTTCGCAAGAGGTACCAATTTCGTGGCAGGCGCAGCCCTTTCGCAAGGCAGGCACAGCATTTTCGCAAGCAGTGAAGAAACATATACAGAGATATAGACATAAAGAAAAAGGGAGAAAACAGAGAGAGAGAGAAAGAAAGAAAGAAAGAAAAAAGAAAGAAAGAGAGTGATGATCGAGGAAGTGATGATTGAGAAAAGGGTGCGTTAAGCTTTGTATACATTGGGAAAATCAGCGGGGGGGTTGGGGGGGGCGGCAGCCCCCGCCCCATGATGTTCAAGGAAGTGATGATTCAACAAAGGGGTGCGTTTAAGCTCTGCAAGCATTCTGCAAATCAGCAGGGGGGTTGGGGGGGGCGGCAGCCCCCCCCCATGATGTTCGTGATGATTCAACAATGTTAAAGGGTGGTGTGTGATCGAAGAAGTGATGATTCAGCAAGGGTGCGGTAATCTCTGTAAACATTCTGAAAACAGCGGGGGGTTTGGGGGGGCGGCAGCCCCCCATGATGTTCGTGATGATTCAACAATGTTAAAGGGTGGTGATGATCGAAGAAGTGATGATTCAGCAAAGGGTGCGGTAATCTCTGTAAACATTCTGAAAAGCAGCGGGGGGGTTGGGGGGGGGGGGCGGCACGAAGAAGTGATGATTCAACAAAGGGTGATGATGATCGAAGAAGTGATGATGCAGCAAAGGGTGCATTAACCACTGTCAACCTTCTACAAATCAGCGGGGTGGTTGGGGCGGGGGTTCCTTCCTTCCTTCCTTCCTTCCTTCCTTCCTTCCTTCCTTCCTTCCTTCCTTCCTTCCTTCCTTCCTTCCTTCCTTCCTTCCTTCCTTCCTTCCTTCCTTCCTTCCTTCCTTCCTTCCTTCCTTCCTTTCCCCCATATGAATGAGCATAAGTTTTTGTTGATGCCTAATAAAGTTTGTGTTTGATGCCTACTCAGTTTTTTTGATGCCTACTAAGTTTTGTTTGATGCCTATCCCCTGGTGAGGCGAGTTCGCAGTTTGATCGCTTCTTTCAGCACGGTCAGCACACTGAAACTTGGCCGCGCGAATGTTTTTTCAGCCGGGCAGCTGAGACCTTCGCTTCCAAGGATCGCTTCTACTTTGCTGTGTGCAAGGCACTTGGGTGGGATAGGCAGCCAGGTAGCAACCTTGCCTCAGGACGGCTCATGACTTGTGCTGGCAGCCAAGCTACACCAAGCTGCCAGGTTTCCGTGGATTGAGAGCCATCCAAAGGCATAATTGATGGCAATGCAACGGACGCAAATCGGCACAGGGCAATTGCGCCGTCCGATTGTATTGGAATTCTTAAACCTTCAGGGGGGCAGTCACTTGGTCTTCCTGTGAAGAAAGGTCGGTTGCCCTTTGCCACTAGAGTTGGCAAAGTTTCCTTCTCACCGTATCTCGTTCAGAGCGATTGAAGGCGGCAGAGCTTCATGCGACCTGCTTTGTGGAGAAAGGCTGTACATGTGTTGCTTTTGGAGTTGCATTGGTCATGCACACGCACACTCATCGGGCTGGTTGTTGAACCTATTCTTCTTTGGTGTGGGATGAAATGCTTTGTGCGGGCTCCTGAAGATGTGCACCGAGGTTGGACATGCGGAAAGAGCAGCGCAAACAGGAGCTTGCGGAGGCAACAATCGCTGCCTTCCGAAGGAAGAGCCAGCAGATTGAGCGCAGGCGCGTCCTAAAGGTGCACAGACCCGGACCCACAAGCCTTGTTCGGCAGAAAGCGACTCTCGCGTGGCCATGTCACGCGAAGCTGCGAGGGCGATGCGTGAGCTGCATTGGCAAACGGTTCTAGGTGTTGTAGAAAGTGACGCCGTGGCTTTCAGTGAACTTGAGGTTCCCATAGCCGTCCCACGTTAGGCCTTGTCCTTGTGAGCGTTTTGCCAGTTTCAGCCACAGGGCAAGTTGCCAAGTCCGTGGTCATGTTTTGCGCTTTCCGACTTTATGATTCATCCATCACTGCCCGAGAAGCACACATGTTGTTTGAGTTTTTTTTTTTCCTGAAGTGCCAGGAACAGCCAGGCGGGCACATCACTGTCTGCTGCGGCTACCATGTCATTTTCAAAGCACGGATGCCCGGTTGAGCTTGGCGGTGCAACAATCTAAGACTCGGAGGTGGACAAGGGCACATTGACAGGACTTGTTCCTCTCAAGAGCGCACAAGAGTGCACGGCGAGGCACGGCGATGAATCCGCGGCTAATCCGTGGAAGATTCGCGAAAGCAACTTTGTTTTTTTGCGAAGAGTGGCTGTTTTGGGACACGTGATGTTGCTCACACCCCATGTCTTGGCATTCTCGCGTTTGCTCAACACAAGGAGGAGGCAGGCTTCCATAGCCACTCTGGCCTGAGGCGATGACTCTGGAAGGCAGTGAGGCCAACAGACGGGCAGGCGGCACACAATTTGTGCAACACCTGAAGTCCTGCTTGCTGTGGATTAGCTTTGGTCAGAACGGAGTGTCTCACGTGTCTCACCCGACAAATATTCCGTCCGCATGGCCGAGAAAGCTTCACAAACCAAAAGCCACGGATCCACGGAAAAGCAGCGCAAACGCTGTCAGTATGGAAGACTCGGCATTGCAAGCTCGCATGCAAGAGAGAATCTAGCGGAATTCAGGAAAAAAACGCTTGCTGACAGAATCGCCGACTGCTCTTCCCATTCTGTTGCATTGTGCATTTGCTGTCCTTCGCACTTCGCACGGCTTGTCTTTGGCAGTTGCTCGTTGGGATTCGTCCGCAGACGTGCCACACAAGCAATGCT